ATATTATCATAACATATATAATATATATGTGTATAATAGATTACATATACATATAATATATTAATAATAGAAATTTTACTATTTAATTATTTACAAAAATAAAAATTATCTAGCAAGGATAATTTTAATGACTATTTATGGCGAAAGGTACGATCCCAGCATATTTTTTATTTAGAGACTCTCCTAAGGTATAGTGTAACACGCGCGATCGACGGCTCGGCCGTCGATCCTTGAACGGTAGTGGGGAATCGTAGGCATCGCCTCAGATATCGGCCCGAAAAGGGCATTTAATTCCGAGCACTAATCTAACCCAACGTTAAAGAAAGCTCGATTACAAGTCACGCGATTTTCTGGTAAATCTCCCATGAGCTGTTGAGCTGCGACTGGTCGTGAACGGAAGCAAACAATGCATTTATGACGAGTTTTTCGCACTGTTAATTTTGCCGACAAAATCCAGAATGATTCTTGTAAAATTGACAGTAATGTCTGTGCACTTGAATGTAGAGATTGATAATGAGCATCATGAATGATAAGAATGGTAACGTGATGATTAGATTGTAAAATGGCTGGATATCGACGTGAATATGACACCGTAGCGTTTCGCAGTCTACCTCCAACTCGAATAATGCCTTCGATATCCAAGAATGGATAGAGCGTAATGAGTGGATTGTTGTGATTGACTCATTTGTTTTGTAAATCGTGTATTTCTGGCTCAAATCGTTTGCCTTAAGGATGGTTGTCATCGCTCGGTCAAATTCATCTACTGTCAATGTTGACTGTAGATGTTGAATCTTTGTAGGCCCTTTATACTCATTCCAGTGCAAACAATAAGCGATAACTCGTTTGAGTCTTGACAATGACGAAAAACTCTCGAGGACATTATTCGTCTTGATAGCTTGAGTGGCCAGCACCGTATTTCTTGGTTTCGGGAATTTCGCCACTTGGCAACGGAATGGGTGCTTGAATATATTCTTCTGGATGTTGTAATCATTCCGGTTCGTTCCATCAAAGACACAAATCCTTCAATTGATCAGGCTTGATTCCTCGCGAAATCACATCGGCGGGATTGTGTTCGGATCTGACATGACGCCACTGTTCGCTTGATGTTAACTGCTGTATTTCGGTTAATCGATTGGCAACGAAAGTCTTTCTAATGTGAGGTTCACCGTGAATCCAAGCTAGAACTATCGTCAAATCGCACCAATAATATCGATCTGGTAACGGTATTGTGAGTGCTCGAGCTACTGAGTCTGCTAATTTTGAAAGTAAAAGCGCTCCACACAGCTCAAGGCGTAAGAGGCAAATAGTTTTGAGCGGAGCAACCTTTGACTTTACGCAAACCAATTGGATGGTGGTGTCTTCTTTGCTATTAACTGATTATAGATACACACACGATCCATAAGCGCTTTCTGAAGCATCCGAAAACCCGTGAAGTTCTACTTGAATCGGATCTTGACAGATGAGGGATAGAGATGTTGTAGATTACGTTTAGTTCTTCGACGTATATAGTCCATTCCGTATGCAAGTCAACGATTCGTCCCATTCCAGATTGAGTTATCATAATTTTTGTAAGAAAATTTTTGCTTTGATGATCTACGGTCCAACTAGTTCTAACGGATCAAAGATTTATGAAACGATTTACAGCACGGTGCCCTTTGTCACGCAAGAGTCCGTATTACGCGCGGTAACATGATATTGAAACGTGTCTTTACTCGACACCCAACTCAAACCGAGAGTTTTGGCCTCTTTTCCACCGGTTGCAATTCTTGTGAACCCTTCGGTGTCTTGTTCGAACGAAATTGGCTCGTTCGATTTTCATTTTGCCAACTCGAAGCCTAAGGAATTCAACACCGTTTCAATCTCGGTTTTGAGTGCTCGCAACTTATTGATATCATCGTGATCGGTCAGAAGGTCGTCAACATAAAAATCTCGAATGATGACTTGACTTGCGTCTGGATGTGATGCTCGTGCATTGTGAGCAGTTTGATGCAGTGCTCGAATCGCCAAAAATGGTGCTGATGCGAGAACCGTCACAGTGTTCAATTGATATTCTTGAACAGACATCGCTACTCAATTTCTACAAAATCCGTTGTAAGTTTCTTTGGTCCTTGCGAATGTTTATTTGGCGATACATTTTGACGATATTAACCATGATGACGTATTGATGCTGTCGAAAACGCAATACAATTGAGAATAACGTTTGCTGAATGGTGGGTCCCACTCGAAGGATGTCGTTCAATGATTTTCTCGAGGATGTCTTCGCCGATGCATCAAACACCACACGAAATGTGCTCCGTTCATTGATGATGACAACGACTGGATGATGTGGAACTTAATGCACTGTAGCTGGCTTATCTTGATCCACGTTGACCGCCTATGATTGAGTTTGGTATATTCAGTCATGAAATTCACTATCTCATCTTTAAGTTGCGACTCCCTTTTAAATCTTCGCTCGAGTTTGTACAGTCGTTTTAATGCATTGTTGCGTGATTCTCTTAATTCACTGGGATGACCTTGGAATGAGAGACTCACGATAAAGCGTCCTTTCTTGTCTCGTTGATGCGTTTGCATTGTGAAACGAGTTTCACAAATTTCGTCGTTCTTCGACCTAGCGGTTTTCTAGTCGACCTATTCAATTCTCCAGAATTTCTCGATTTGATTACAGAGCCTTGCCTCTGCTGAGAAACAACAAATCGAAGTACTGGATTGATCACTCACAACAATATCTTTAGAGACGATCCAACCTAGATGAGTTTTTTAAAGAATCTGAAGAGGCTGAGATCTGCTAAGTTTAATTTGACCGATGCAGAATAACTCCCAAAACACGCTTGCTCCCAATATTACATCAATTTTTCCAGGCACATAGAACGCCTCATCGGCGAGCTTAATATTCATGGGAATCTGTAAATGTCCAATATCAATTTTTGAAAGCTGCAACTGTTCGATTATTCGCTTAATTATCAAGAATTTGATCTTGGTTTGATACGCAGTGTGTTTTGACTGAATCTCGATACGCGCAGATTCTGTAAGATTTATCCACGAAACTAGACTTCCGACCAAACAGTTGAGTTTTTGTTTCGTGAGTTGTAATTTATCGCAAAATTCTTCGGTTAAGAAATTGGACTGTGATGCGGAATCTCGAAAAGTACTCAACACTCATGTGCATTTCTGAAAGCATCGTAAATCCACACGCGAGCAATGGACAACAACACTCTAGACTACACCGGGAAATTGACGCTACTACAATTAACATTTGAAGTATGAGGTTCTGCGTTATCTGAATTCACGCAAGTTACATTCCCGATAGATTATTTTTTAGTACTTTCGATTTGATCGTTCTGATATAACAATGTGTTGTGCTTTGCATTGCATTTTTTACAAGATGATGATTGACAATTTTGCGCGAAATGATTCGGACGCAAACAATTATGACAAAGCTTTCGCTCATTTACGGTGTTCGATTTTTTAGGAACAGTCAATTCTTTGAATTTGTCACAAGAATACATCGAATGTGAATCTTCATTACAAAACAAACATTTTCACGTTGATCGAATTTTCTTGCTTGTTTTCGCGAGAGCAATCGAACTATCGGCTTTTCTTTGTTGAAGAACCGATTTGTTTGAATGTAGTTTTCCCGACACTGATTTGTTTATTTCAGGTTTGATAATCGAACATCGCTGCTCAAGGAACTCTGTCAAGCTGGCAACCGTGATTTCTTCGCTATCTTTTATGTGCGTTCTCTATTCACGTCGCGTAATGGAATCAAACTTTGCGATCATCAAATGATTAATTATCATGTCCCATGTCTCAGTTGTATTCCCGATTCCTTTTGCATGACCGGAATATCTAACAATAATTGCAAATGCCTACTGGCAATAGCGCGTTTGTCTTCAAATCTTTTAGTTAAAAGATTCCATGCGATCTTGTAATTTTCCGCGGACGACTCGAGAGATTGAATATTTTTGGCAGCTCTGTCCTTTAAAGAAAATTTGAGATAATACATGCGTTGAATATTCGATAAGTCGTTATTTGCGTCTATGAGCCCCTAAAAGCTATCTCAAAATTTTAACCATTTCTCCGGATTTCCATCGAATAGCGGAAGATTCATAGTTGACAGCTTGATCCTGAGCCCTTGATTCGCCGGACCGTTTTCCGCATCGCCGCGATTTTCCTTTGCAGGGCGCACTATTGAATTAGCGAGAGCTCGAGCTTGACCGATAAGCTGACAATACCGATCCTCAATGATTGGATGCTTTACATCAATCTCGTCTAAATCTTCTATTTGTGTCTATACTTTTTTTAACTGAACCCATGTGTTCTGAACAAACCCGATTTTTGTTTGTAATGTCTCGAGCGGTTCGCCATTCGCACGAAACCCGGCTATAAACACTTCGAGATACGTAAGACGTGCCTTGCATGTTCCACGTTGACGCTTCAACGTTGTCGAACCTTCAACCATTATGAAACGAATGTACAAATATTCTATAAATACCTTACAAATACGTGTAATTAAACGCTCAAAGATCTTAATATTTAACTTACAATTAGTAGAAAAACGTCGTTGATATGTAGTATGTTGCTACGATGCTTGATGTCCACGTCTATCCGTAGACTCGCGTACTTCGTTACTGCAGTTGTGTGGAATGCGTTGTCCACCGTATGATTCCCAAGACTTCCGTTTTGCGAAAATGAGACAGCCTTACTGCTATCGTTGTGCGGCGTGTACTGCATAATACACTTCTTACGCTCTCCGTTGTGAGGGACAAAAATTGACCTTTGCCTCGAATCGTCCTTGTATTTACACCGAAGATGGATAGTGAACTCGCAAGAATAGATAAACTGAAAAAATTGGAAAACTGGGAAACGTGGAAATTTCAAGTACGAATCCTGATCAACGCAGCAGATGCGCTTGAAATAGTTACTGGAGAGTATCAAAACCCTCAGCGATCAGCAATGGGAGGAGCTGATATTATGGAAGAATACCGACGGTACCTCAAAGCATGAAAAACAGATTGGACAGTAAAGCTCAAGAAATTATAGTGACAACGGTAAGCGAACAACTCTTATTACATATTATAAACTGCCAATTTGCCAAAGAGATGTGGGACAAGCTCCACGAGATTTTCAAAAGCAAAAGCGAAACTGCAAAACACATTCTTCAACAACAATGGTATACTTTAGGTAAAGAAGCTGCAGATGACAGCTACGCATACAGCAAAGATAAAAGACCTCGCGCATCGTTTAAGCATGCTTGGCAAGTCTGTTTCCGATGGGATGATAATGACAAAGATCTTAATGACTCTTCCACCTTCCTATCAGCATTTCAACACAGCATGGGAGTCGCCGACCCAGGAGCAAAGAACTCTGTCAAACCTCACGGCAAGACTCACGGTGGAGGAGCTCAGGAATAAGCAGCACGATAGCCATAGAAACAGCGCTCTTGCAGCAAAAACGAAGCAGCAACCTACTACTAAAGGATAGCAAGGAGAATGGAAATCTGACAAACCAGCAAGAAAATGCTTAAAGTGGAAAAAAAGGGCACTAAAAGCATGACTGCAGATCCAAGGCAGGCAGCGAAAAAGCAACCGCAAAGTCTGAAGATAGGGGTGTGGCTTTCGTCGGACGAGTCAAAACAGCCATAACACTCTTGTCGCAAAAGTAGTCAATAATTAGAATCTGGATTCAGGTACGAGCCAGCACATGTCGCTAGTACGCGACTGGTTTGCGAACTACGAGGAGTTGACTTCGCCAATTCCGGTAAAAATGGGGAACGGTGAGATTATACACGCCATAGGAAGAGGAAAGATCGACGTCTACGCGTACAATGGAAGTAAAAACGGAAACTAAAGTAGAAACGGAACTATCTAACACCAGTCTTGTACGTATCTAAGCTAAAGTACAATCTATTTTCCTTGTCATCAACGCTCGACAAAGGCCTGAAGCTATCGTCGGATAAACGGAAGTGTCAGCTGCAGAACAAGAGGAACGTAGTTGCAGTGGGAGACCGGTACAAAAACTTATACAGGATGAGACTTAAAGCTTGCCAACAAAAGACGAGCAGCAATAATCATGAGCAAGTATGGATTCATACCGAGGAAAAGCGTCATTTCAGACTTGACATGAGAGACTAGTGCATCAGAATACAGTGCACGTCTCCAGGATGCTGAAACAATGAGGGATCAAGATTAGATCAGAGACAGATTGGCTCTGCGAAGAATGTACTTTAGGGAAAATGAATCGGAAATTCTTCTCTATAAATCAATTGCAAACCAAGGAACTTGGTGATCTAATCCATATGGATCTCTGCGGACCAAAGGAGCACGACTCGATAGGAAAATCCAGATATTATTTGCTTCTCAAGGATGACTATTCACATTTTCGGCATGTATACTTTATAAAGAATAAGTCAGAAGTAACGGAAAATTTCAAAGCTTTCCTGAATGAGATAGAGGTACAAGAAGGAAAGAAAATTAAAAGATTAAGAACTGACAACGGCCTAGAATGTGTCAACAAAGAAATGCAAGAAACTTTGAGATAGAACGGAATCAAACACGAGAAAAGTGTCGCCTATACACCGGAGCAAAATGATGCAGCTGAAAGAGAAAACAGGACAGTAACTGAGGCAGCACAAAGCATGATCTGCCAAAGGTATGCCGTTGAATCTGTGGGCTGAATCCGTCCATACGGCAGTCTATATGCTTAATCGCACAGGAACGAGTTCGGTACCAGGAAAGATTCCGTATAAAATATGGTTTGGAAAAGCGACAGCCAAACTTGAACTCAAAATATTCGGAACTGAAATTTACACACACATACCTAAGGAAAGGAGAACCGGATGGAGTCCAAAAGCGAAAAAAGAAGATATGACCTCGTCGGATAGGATAAAGTTCCGAAAAGTATTCACCCTCGATTTTTTGAAATTCAGTATTCTTACGTATTTTGATGCGCTGATTACGAATATCATAGTGAAAATTGGCGACTATTTGATTTTCATGGTGAAAACCATGAAAAACCTATAAAAGTTATAGTTTTTTACGCTTATCTCAGTAAATTACGCTTATCTCAGAAAATCATGATAAATGTTTTAGACAAAAGTTTTAGATCTCACAGAGATAAACATTTTATGTCTTATTCATTTTTACCGTACAAGTAATAGTTTTCGATAAAATCAAAGTTAAACATATATCTCAAACCAATTGCTGTATACGATTTTTTTGAAACTCAGTATTCTTACGTATTTTGATGCGCTGATTACGAATATCATAGTGCAAATTGGCGACTATTTGATTTTCATGGTGAAAACCATGAAAAACTCATAAAAATTATAGTTTTTTACGCTTATCTCAGTAAATTACGCTTATCTCAGAAAATCATGATAAATGTTTTAGACAAAAGTTTTAGATCTCACAGAGATAAACATTTTATGTCCTATCCATTTTTACCGTACTAGTGATAGTTTTCGAGAAAATCAAAGTTAAACATATATCTCAAACCAATTGCTGTATAAGTGAAACTACAAAGGCTGACAATATTGCGTAGAAGTCCCAATATATAACCTCGCTTTGCGTGGAAAGTTGCAAACCCATGTGGAACCTCGCTTCGCGTGGAAAAGTGTATGCGTGGAAACAGAGGGTTCCACCCCTCTGTGGGGGCTCCACTACCAAAATACTAGACTACGGGGGGCTCCACTACCAAAAAACTAGACAAATAGGTTTGCGTGGAACCTTGCTTTGCGTGGAACCTTGCTTTGCGTGGAAAGTTGCAAACCAATGTGGAATCGTATATGTATTGCAAAGTACATGTATAGATGGGAGGACAGATATAAGATTTAGAGTCTATCGTTTTTGTCGAAAACTATCACTCGTACGGTAAAAATGAATAGGATATAAAATGTTTATCTCTGTGAGATCTAAACCTTTTGTCTAAAACATTTATCATGATTTTCCGTATTTACTGAGATAAGCGTAAAAAACTATAATTTTTATGGGTTTTTCATGGTTTTCACCATGAAAATCAAATAGTCGCCAATTTTCATTATGATATTCGTAATCAGCGCATCAAAATACGTAAGAATACTGAGTTTCAAGAAAATCGGGGGTGAGTACTTTTCGGAACTACACCCGAACGATCTCACTCCGCGCAGCTTTGGGCGGAGTGGGGATTAGGTGAGAGACTTCAGCGCACTACTTCAATGCCGTATGTCGTATCCGTATTGATCGTGTATCACGTATGTGATCCGCCTATAAAGCTCGAAAGAAATGTCATAATATTGAAAGCTTGAGTTGTTCTCTGTTAATCGAATTTTATTACTCTTTTTAATTAAATTGCGATATATCTATTATATTTGTTTTCTTTTTTCTTGCAATCTAAAAATTATTAATAAAATTTAATACTATTATAAATAAATATGATCCCCTTTGTCGGCTAGCCGGATCTGCAAACTGCAAGATCAATTTTGGCAAATTTTTTTATTTTATTGTTTGCATCATTTTTTATTATTTTAATGAGAAAGAAATACCGCCGAATTTAATGTCACCTAACATCGCTGTGTTAAAAGATCTCGAAATTTGGCGCGTTGTCTGACAACGCGCACGGCACCACACGAACTCCAATCGGAGAGCGTCCCGCCAAAGGAGCGCCGCGAATCACATAAGGCCCCGCGGCATCGATAATACTATCAATTTGGGCCACGCAGCGGTCACCCGAGAGAGCCAAAAATCTCAATAACAACATTCAATTTTACTAAATCATCGAAAACAACGGTAGGCTCGACCTTTTGAGAAAAACACGCGGAAAGTTCTAGAACTATCCAAAGAACGATAGTATAAAAGCTCTCTCGGAGAACCGCCGGGCGCACTCGATCGTGAACTCCATCCGTGACAGTGTGTTATTATATCGTTTAAACTCTCGTCAAAGAAAAGTCGCTCGCTTTTCTAGTTCGTACGCTCGTTTACGAAACGCAAAGTAATCGATAAATTAGCAGAGATTTCTCGTCGCTCGCGATTAATCTCTTGTTCTCAAAACGCGCCGTTTATCCCGTCGCTCGCGGAATCGCGCCGTTTATACCGTCGCTTGCGGTATTCAAGCTATATCCGTCGCTCGTGGAGATTATCTTTGCACTCTCGATAGCTCGCCGACGCTAGAACTCGGTTAAGATTAGTATAAATCTTATCGGTGAAAGACTTGTAAACTATTTATTGTTCTTAATAAATTGACTGCCTTTATTACTAAGCGTGTCCATTTCACGCTATCCTCGCGCTCCCGCGTTCACTCGCGCACAAGCTTTGACTAGCAATATAGTAGTATTACATATATGGGTTAACTGAAATGACATGAATGCTTGGTTTTCCTCACTGATCTATATTATAGTCCTATATAATCAGAGAAGCGACAATGGCGTTTCGCTTGCTGATTGGCTGACTGCCATGGGCCCGTTCCACTTAATGACCGCAACGCTCACGGTATCATTTCATCTTTGTTGTTCACCGAAATTTAAAATTGTAGTTTTAAATAAGACATTGCTGAAATAGGATCGAGAAGCATTCCCTATTTTTTTTAAATGCCCACTGTGTAAAATGAAAGATATATATTATTTTTATATGTGTAATTTGTGGTATATAAATTCAGTTTTAACTCTGTTCTTATTACATTATTTATATTTTTATAACATATTTTCTCAGCTAATTTCAGTAATTAGCAGCTGCCGAATAGAGTTCAGCTATTTCTCTCTCAGCTGTACTTTCGGAAATATTTTTACCAAAAATATGTATTCAATATTATATTAAGTAAAGTATGTGCGCTTTTTTCCGGTTTAACGTCATAAATTATTTAGTACTTCTAGTGTCAAGGCCACTTTAGACGATCTATAATTCATGACGAAATAAGGATATAATTCTATTTATAATTTTTATTTAATTTTAATTATTTTGCAATTAATTTATAAATGTACTCACAATTTTTCGGATGTTCTTTAATATATACTTTTTATATATAATTTTGTCCAAAATTCTGTCGTGAATTGTAAATCGTATAAAGTTACCTTGAAACTAACATTCTCAATATATAACTTTTCTTTATCTATGTTCTGTCCTTTATATTCTTCTATATTTTATATCTATCCTTTCTATTAATCTTCTGTTCTATCTACATTCTTTGGAAATATAAAAAATTGTTTTCTTTAATATTATATTAAAATTATTATATATAATATATATTATTATATAAATTTTTATATCTAATGTAATATTAAAGAAAACATTTTCTTACATTTCCTCTTGACGGAAGAAACCACCACCTTCTCGCGGTTTCCGTTGAGCAACAACATGTACGTTGTTCATTTATAAAATTGGCTTATATTAATATTTGATTGATTAATACGATAGAATACTTTATATTATTGAAAAAATAATGCTTTTCTTCTTTTATTTTACTACATATATATATTTATTATTATTAACAAAGTAAAAACTATACTATTATTA